CATAGCTACCAACTTCTGCAGTCACCTGAAAGAGTGAGTATATTAGGCCATATGCTGCAGAATATAAATATCCTACTGATCATCCAAGAGGTCTTCCTGTACTATAAAGATAAAACCAACACATAAAAAAGAAATTACAACATTGTCATACCCAAAATTCCATCCACCAAAGATAAATTTGGCTACACAAACTTGTTTCTATTAAGAGACGTTTTTGGATTTATGAAATTCTTTTACCTGAAGATGGTCTTAGCAATGATCCACAATTGCCTAGTGCCCCACATTAAGAGGTTATGTGACTTATCATGAAGAAATAGTAGGTCTCTGGCAAAGCCAAAATTAGACAATTAGAATTGAGACATGGATTGAGACCCCTGACTTGAAGATTTGGACTTTGCCCTCTATAGGCTATTTTCTCATAAAACAGATGAGGGGGAGTAGATAGATGAGAGATGAGAGATTAGATAGGTAGGTAGGTAGGTAGATAGATAGACAGATAGACAGATAGATAGCCTCTCTGTAAAAATATCCATGAAAATTTATCTGGACTTCTTTCATCACTTTCGATAAATATCCTTATAGCAAGTAAAGGCATGCATGATCTCTTACCTTCGTGCCCAATTTATGTATTTCTATTCACAAACATCCATGACCTCCTCTAGATTTTTCCTGTCTTCACTGATGAATACAGCCGTGGGCATTTGGAGAGGCAAATCCACTTTTCAGTGCTTTAATTCTCTGTCTTCTTTCCATCTACAACATCCAGATGTTAACCCCAACACACATAAAAGGACGACTTCTGCCCGCTGTTCCATGAACACAGCAGTTGCTGGGTAACAGTTAGTTTCTGGCCTGTTTGGCCATGGAAAACACCCCAGTGTGCTCAGATACGAGGGCTGAAAATTTCTGCTTTACCCCTATTCTTTTCTTGGGTTCCATTGCCTCTGTCCTATCGAATACACCAAGCAAGCTTCCACAGGGGAGAAAATAAGATGAAAAAGGAAGCCTGCAGTTCCCACATTCTAATATGTAACATGAAGAACATTGATGTAATGGTTGTCTTTGAAGTAGAGCAATGAGAAATGAGGACAGATGTTATCTGTTAAATGCATGCCAATTTCAGCAATGTAAATATCTGGGTGTGGAGATGTTTGGGGTAGAAATATGGTAATATCATAGGAGATGAAAATGGACCCAAAAGTCACACAGTGATGTCTCGGGATCTGACACAGAAGAGCGGGTTGTAAGTAGCATGGATTTAAGCACCACCAGCATTCATTCATTCATTCATTCATGAACTATTCATTCATCTTTCCGTCTGTGTTATTGAATACCCACTACGTGTGGACTTCCTACTGGGGCCTGGGGATTCAGAGATAAAGATACAAATCCTTCCCGGGTAGGCCCACAGCTTAGAGGGGACTGGCAAATGGATAAATAGTTATTAAAGAGCTCATTCTGTAAATACATGAAAGAGGAGGGCACCAACCCAGCTGGGCACACAGGGGGCCCTGGAGGGGACAACAGTGGTTACCCCAGGGGTGCTGATCGAGGACACTGCGGTTATGAAGGAGGTGACACCAATACCACCCAGCATTGCTGAGTACTTACCTGGGCTGGGCCTTGTACTAGGTTGTACTTATAAAGTGTGATCCCATTGTTCCTCAAACTATCTTGTGAGGCAAGTACTACAACCATCTCTATATTACAGATGTGAAACTGAGGCTCAGATAGTTACTTGCAGGCGCACGGTCATGCAGAGGATGAGCAGCAAACCAAACACAGGCCTGAGTCAAAGGCCCAGACCCCTCATGCTGGACCTCTCCCAGTTTTGCAGCATTTGAAAGAAGAGGGTAAAACGTCTTGTGTGGGTGTTCATGAGTTTTGAGTACAGCACAGTTGTGAATGGGGAACTAGGGGAAGTCAGAAGCTGCCTATGTGCTCTGATGACTGTGGTTCCAGGCAGTGGAAGTGGACAGAGAACAATCTCCCAGCAGGACCATAGCAGCGGGAGCCTGGAGTCTGAGCACTCTTGGGGATTTGGAAGCATGCTGCTACCCTCCTGTCTGGGGAAATCCACTCACATCATCTTTGCTTCTTGCTCCTTGCTTCTACCTGTCCCCAGCCCTTTCTGCAACCCAGCGGCTGATTCCAGCTTCAGCAAAACACAGACGTTCCATTTTTTGCACTCCAGTCATGCCTGGAAAGCCCCTCTTTCTACTGTCTCTGCCCTTCCCTCCTCCCTCCACCCTGCATAAAATAAAATACAGTAATAGCAGCACGCTAGAGTACCCAATATGCTCCTTGTGCAAGCTTGGTTAAACAAATCGCATTGACCTTTAATAAAAATGTGCCAAATGCTTCCTTCTCTCATTCAATATGTTAATCTTCAGGCCAAACCATCATCAGAGCAAGCCTCATTAAGTGCAAATCTGATCACGCTATCCCCGCTTCCAACACTTCAGTGGCTCCAAATTACCTCCAAGACCAAATCCCAACTTCTAGCAGGGCTCAGAGGGGCCTCCCTGTGTGGCTTGTGCTGACCTGGCCAGGCTCATTTCCCACAGTGTCCCTCCCTCTGCATCTTGCCACGCTCTAGCCGTGCCCAAGTAGAGAGCACTCTCAACTTCCTTAGCCTTTTCTCTAGCATGATTCTGTCTGCAGTGCCCAGGCACCCAGCCCTGCCAGCCACGCAGTGATTACCTCCTGCTGCTCGAATGCAGCTCAGGCCAGCAGCTCTAGTCACCCTTTGTTGAGCTCCCCCTCCTCCTGTGAGGCCAGTGCAGATGTGTATCATACTCCTAGTGACTCCTAATGCTTTGCTTTATAATGCCCAGCTCACCTTCACTGAGCTGGATTTGGAGACCAACCCAACCAACCCTAAGGGGACGGACTTTCTGTTTGAATAAAAACGAACGCTTTTCATCAAAACACTAAGGATCCAGGAGAAGCCTGGTCTTATTCCAATCACTACTTCCCTCTTGGGCTCTCTTTCTCATGGGCTTTGCCTGGACAGAGTCCTGTTCCGTTACCCCATCAGGGGAGCAGGAGGTCAGGAGGGCCAGTTGGCGATGGAGCCAAGCTGGCCAATGGGAGATCTATTTGTGTCATTTTATACTGGCTTAACTGATTTGTTCATAATTTAAGCAACAGGCAAACGAGCACTGACATTCAGGTTCCCTTGGCAAAGATGGCTCTTCCAGAGCAGGTTGAATGAGCCATTTCAGGAGGGAGAGAGGAAGGGAGGGGTTCTCTGCCTAAGAAAATAGATTAAAAGCAGTAATTGCCAGAATCCACAGGTAAGTGCACTTTTGCACTCACACTATTGTCTACAGATATTTGTTTTGCCATTTGTTATCTAGTGTTCATCTAGGATGAGGCAGGACCCATCTGTCTCGTTCATTATTCTATCCCCAGAGCCTGACCCTGCATCCAGCACAAAGAGGCACTTCATGACTATTTGTTGAATGATGGAGTGAATGACCTTACTTTGGAGATCAGAACTGGGTTCCAGGTTCCACTGTGCAGCACCAGCTTGCTCTGTGGCCTTGGGCTGGTTACAGTGCCTCTCCAATCATTGTTTTCTTATCAGTGAGATTGTTAGTATCTGCCTGACCCATTTCATGGGTCCATACAAGGTTCTGGCTGTAAGTGAAAGTCCTTCTTTACTATTATGTGTGTGCAATATTGAACTTGAGAGTTTATATCAATACTGAAGAGTTGTCCTTTCCCAGTGGGAGTTGCATGCATGGATGAGAAAACCCATGTGAACCTAGAACCAGTCTGCAGCTAGGATCGGGGTCTCTGCATGGATTCTCCAGGTCTGGGAGGCTGGCTGCAGTAGTGCGAGCTCATGGCTCTGAGACAGAGACCTGGAATCACTGGAGCCCAGAGGACAGTTAAAGCCACGGACATAGTTGGATTGGACTGCTCTAGGACAAGAACATGGACTGCGAGAGAGGAGAGGCTTGGCCTGGTCCTCAGTGAAGGTGACACGGGAGGAAGAGGCAGAAGATAAGCACCAAGGACAGAATCTGAGAAGGAAAAGCCAGAAAACCAAGGGACCAACTGTGATGGAAGCCAGGAAAAGAGAAGATCAGTGTGCATAAAAGAAGGGAAGATGGATCACAGGGAGAGAGGAAGGGTGAGAGGTTCGCTGTAATTCATTGAGACTTTAAAACCTCAGTATGCCATATGTTACGGTTTTCTAAAAACTCGGCCAATGTGTTGAATTTTTAAAAAGATAGCAGAATGTTTCAGATGGTTTTAACTGTATCTTTTTCATACAGCCTGACATGTGCTTTCATGATTTTTATAATTGGAAAGCTACATTTCCTATCAAGATATATGAGTATGAACACCTCAAATAGGTGTAAAAGAAAAGGCTGTGTGTAATGGCCACAGGGAAAAGATACACAAAAGGTGAAATCAGTTGTTGAATTTAATCATCGAATCTTGTGGTAGGATTTGACCTGATTATTTTTCTTCATAAAGGTATTTATATGTTCTTTTTGTTAAACAATGTGGATTTTAAAAAAATAATGAGAACCAAGTGATCTTCCTCTGTGTTATGTTCTACCTGTGACCGTCATGCCTAGGGGTCTACATCTCAGGACCTGGCTCCTCCCACCTTCCTTGGAGTGCACTACCCTACTCACAACTCACCAGCACCCATCACCCCATCCCACAGAACGGGTGCATTTCTCTGCATCTGTCTTCCACTTTGGCCATGTGATGCCTTTGGCTACCAGTATGGTGAGGACAAGGACAACAGGGACAGACCCTCCATCAACCTGGAGTGGACATGTTTGTGACCAATACTTAAAACTTTGTTGTTTAAAATGACTGAGATGGAAGCAGGAGGTAGGGGGGCTGTTTGTCACTGCAGCTTGTCCTAACAGGTACAGTCTTCTGGAACCCAAAGAGAAGAAGAATACATCGGCAAAACCAGCACTTTCCAAGAAGTCTAATTCCTAAGTTTTTCTCACTTTCTTTTCTAGATGATGCTTATTTACTACAGGGACTTAATATAGAGGAACTATATCCAGAGACCTCTAGTTTCATTACCTACGATGGGTCGATGACGATCCCGCCCTGCTATGAGACGGCAAGTTGGATAATAATGAACAAACCCGTCTATATAACCAGGATGCAGGTGAGCCTGTCTTTAGTCAGTGAGCTAACAGGGAAGATGATATGAGGGCTGGTGGGATTGATCCAGGGTCTGTTATGTTAGGCCATTAGAACTGCTGAAGCCAAGAGCCACAGCAGAAACATCACCTCACACTTCTGGAGGCTGAAGTCCAGTACCAGGTGTCAGAAGCGTTGAGTTCTCCTGGGGGATGAAGAGGGATCTGCTCCATGCCTCGTCCCAGCTCCTAATGGTTGGTGGCGACTTTCAGACCTCCTCAGCATGAGAGACGCCACTCCCAATGTCTGCCTCCACCTTTCAACAGACTCCTCCCCATGTCTGAGTCTCTGACTCCTTTTCATACAGACACCGGTCATGTTGAGTTAGCAGAGCCCACCTCACTTCACCTTAGTTTAGTAATTACACCTGCAGTCCCCCCACTTCCAAGGTTACATTCTAAGGACTGAGGATCACCAGTGCTTTCAACGTATGAGTTTGGGGGTGTGGTGGGGGTGCTCATGCAATTCGGCTCAGAACACCTCCGTGCAAAGAGCTGGCATCTGACATGGCTCAGCATGGACTGACAGTGGCATCCACCAGCTGTCTGAGGAAGAAAAGACGGCCAGGCTAGTGTGCAGAGTGTGCTCTGCGGCTGTGGCGCTCAAAAAGCAAAGGTGCAAAATGAATGACGTGGTCAAACGTGCTTGAAAAAGCTGGGTTTGCAAAAGTTGCATTGATTTTATTATGAAGGGGCTTCTCGGCCCTTTTTTTTAAGTTTTTAAATTTTTTTGTCTTTTTGAGACAGGGTTTCATTATGCACTTTAGGCTGGCCTTGAACTCAGAGTGATCCTCCTGCCTCAGCCTCCTGAGTGCTAAGATGAAAGACATGCACCACTGTACCAGGCTTCTCAGGCTTTTTAAAAATGACACTACCCATTTCCATCTCTAAAAGGACAGCATCCTGACATGCAACATTTTACAAACATATCTGAATGTGAGATTCTTGCAGGTCATCTCACAAATGACCCATTTCTCAAAACCGGACAGGATCCAGACCTGGATGGCTGGTGACCAATTGCCAGCTCTGCTAAGTGGCTCAGGGTGCCCATTGGGCTGTCATCCTGCTCTGTGAAATGGATACAGACCCTCTTTACTAGGGGACAGAGGTAAATTACAGAGGACTCTTCCTGCTCTGATATCCTGTGACTGTGAGAGTCTATGAAAACTCAAAGGGAAGATGGGCAGAGGAACCAGATCCCCATCTCTAAGGGATATTGTCTTGGCGACTTTTCTCTCATTGCTGAGACAAAATATCTGACACCCAAAGTTGAAGGGGGAAAGGTTTATTTAGCTCTCAGTTTGTAGAGGTTTCAGCCCATAATCTGCTGGCTCCAAGGCAGCATAACACATGACAGAGGGGCAAAATGTCGTGGCCACAGAAGACAGCAAAAGCAACAAGAGAGAGAGAGACAAACCTCTTTCTGTCCCTTACATTATACCCAGTCTACTGGAATTAGGGTGCTGTGAATCCAATCAGTGGATTGATCCAGCAATCACCACCTTTAATCCTAGCACCCTTAATCCCAACATTGCACTACGAATTAATCACACACTGTAGATTCAGCCACCACTGAAAAAACCCTATACTGTACGAGGTTTTGGGGGGACATCTAGACACAAACCATAATAGACACACACTCACCACCTGACAATTTGGACAGTCTGACATTTCTAATCGAGTCTGTATTAATTAGGGCTCATTGCAGGACAAGCAACAGTAACCCCTTACAGATAGCACAAGTATAGACAAAGGATTTATTCAAGAGATATTGGAGTATCTCATGGAATTTAAGATCAGAAACCGAAGTCAAACTCACTGGAATCAGAAAGCCAGAGCCGTTCTGCTTTGTTGTCTTCCTATTCCCCCCATGATGGTGCTGGGAACTGAACCCAGAGCCTTTGTATCTAGCTAGATCTCCAGCCTTTTTCAATTTTTACTTTGAGACAGGGTCTTGCTAAGTCCCTGAATCACCTAAACTGAGCTCCAATTTGTAATCCTCCTGCCTCAGCCTCCCAGAATGCTGGGATTACAGGCATACACCACTGTACCCAACTTTCTTTCTCTTCTTTCTGCATGTTTCCTTCTTTCTCTTCTACTTCTTCTTCTTCTTCTTCTCATGTTTTCTTCATTCTCTTCTACCTTCTTCTGCTAGTGACTGTTTCACTCACAGTCCTGGTGTGAAACAAGACCTGGTACTCACAAAAAGAAACTGGATCGATCCAGATATGTTTAGCTGCACCCACTCCTGAGGTCTGAGTAAATACCCAGCCAAGAGTCAGGGAAGTAGTGAACCACAGGCATCATGGCCAGGAGGACTACCACAGAGCAACCTGCTGGATTTCTTCCTTGGACAAATGGCGCATTGGAGGGTGACAGTAAATGGCTTCTTCAGAGAGGCATATGAACTAACGAGCTAGAAGCCTGTTCCCTCCAGACTTGGAAGCATTTGTGGCCTTCAGCCCCTCTGAACCCAGGAAAGGGGCCTGTGAGGGGCTCGTGGCCTTTCACAGACAGCCAGCACCATCCGGCCTGGCCAGGGTCTCCTCGGCCTTACTTCTTCCCTGGTGCATGGAAGAGGACAGCTGGATCTCACAACCCTTCCTCTCTCCGCAGATGCATTCCTTACGCCTCCTCAGCCAGAACCAGCCATCTCAGATCTTCCTGAGCATGAGTGACAACTTCAGGCCCGTGCAGCCACTCAACAACCGCTGCATCCGCACCAACATCAACTTCAGCCTCCAGGGGAAGGACTGTCCGAACAACCGAGCCCAGAAGCTCCAGTACAGAGGTGGGTGCCGAGGCTCAGGGTGCAGGGGACAGGTCCAGGGCCCCAGCTTTCTGCTCAGACCTGCTCCGAAAGGCCTGTGCCTGTGTCCATGAGAGGAATCGTGTCTGCGAATGATGATGAGGCCACTATCATGGTCCCGTTTGCATGGTCCTTTCTGTTGGTGAAGCCTACCGGTCATACCTAAGCAAGGTCGTAAACACTCAAAGGCTTGATATATGTGATACATATTGAAGATTTGATGCCACATACACAAAACCTTTATACCCCTCTGGTTTGGGCAAGACAGCCCTTTATATTGTCATTTTTACAAAGTGCCCAGAGAGGGTGCTGAGGGTATCTGTTAGAACAGGATGGCCAGAAGCATTAGAGCATGGGGTTATGCATCCTCTCGAAGCTGAGCAAATGCCCTGGATGCCAGGCCGTCAGAGGCAATGAGGTGATATGGTGTGTAAATGCATCCTTGTCCCGAGAAGAGCTTGTTACCTCTGCCTCAGGGGACCCCTGCCTCCTGTAACCCTCTGGTCCACACCCATCCCTCTCTCCTCCCTTCTGCACACGAGATACCTATTGTTCACTGTGCAGAGTCTCAGTGTGGACAAGGAGACAGAGGCAGCACAGTGTCTTGGAGATACCCCAGACGGGAAGGCAGGACCCTGGAGTTCCGGACCTGTTTCTAACAAGTTGTGCAAACCCAACCTGGTCACTTACTCCTGTGGGCCTGGCATCTTCCTGGCCAGCCCTGTCCCCATCTAGGTCAGAACACACTGTGAGGGGAAAATAAGAGCATGGAGGAGGAAGCCCTCTGAAGCAATCTCATTCTCCCCACATGCAGGAGCTGTGGCTCTTACCAGGCAGCTTTCAGAAGCAGATACCACTGCTGCCTGCATCCCTCACCTCGTTCCTCCTCCTTTCTCCACATTTCCTCACTCACAGAGCTCCTAAGCTACAGACTACCTGCTCCCTTACAGCCACAACTACTAAGAAAATAAGCACCTATTATCACTATGCACTTCTAATGGGCCAGGCACACAGGTGGGTGGTGGGGATACAAAGATGATGAAGACGGATATGGCTCTAACTGTATAGAGCTCATGGTCCAGAGCAGGAGCCAGAACACTTTGTCTGGGAATGGGATAGCAGGCAAATATCTTGGGCTTTGTGACTGATACAGTTTCTGTCACACTCTAATGATTCACGGGGAAATCAGCCATAGACAATATGTGCATCAATAGATCCGTAGTGCTCCAATAAAACTTTATTTACAAAAACAACAGGTAATGTGTTAGATTTGGGCTGTGGGCTGAGGTTTGCTCAGTCTGTCCTAAACCAGCCATCAGCTAGAACTTTCTGTGATGACAGAAACTATCTATATCTACATGGTTCGACAGAGCAGCTCCTAGCCCTTGTGTGGCTATTAAATGTTTGGAGTAAGGCTGTTTTGATGCCACAACTAATTTCATTTAGTTCATTTACCTTTATGGTAGCCATATGTGGCTAGTAACTACCATATTGGATAGCACAGTCTAGATAGTTGAGGAAAGAAGCAGTTGGAAAACAAATAAGTAAGCAGGTATTTACAAAACAACCCCTTCTGCTTTGCAGTAAGCCCCCCAAACTGTGTGTAAATTAATTCAATTGTGCCTTGTTTTGTGTTGTGTGTATGTGGTTTTGTTTCTTCTCTTTCCAGTAAATGAATGGCTCCTCAAGTAGGGAAGTAAGCCAAGAAGAATCCCATCTCAGTGAAATGCTACAACTGTGAATTGACGTAACCTAGAATGTCCTCCGTCCTTCTCTCTCCTTCCTTCCCCCAAGCCTCATTCACTCTTTGGATTGGCCCATTCCTCATGAAAAATGTGTGCAAAACCATGGAACCCATTTGTTGTACACAACTCCCAAACACACACACACACGTGTGTGTGAACATACCTACACACACACACACGCACACTCATTCAACCTCCATGATGGAAAGTCAAGTTTCAGAAACAAAAGGCTCATTCATAAGAAGTCTTAGAAGAAAATAACCAGTTAACCTGATTACAATTTTGATACCGTTTTCCTGAACTAAGAAATCTACCCAGTGAAACTTTTCATTCTTTGTACATACAAAATTCTTCCAAGTGAGAGAGAAGAGAAAGCACAGTTCTGAAAGCATCAAGTGGACTTTCCACCAGGTCATCCCCAGCAGTGTCCTAGGATCCTTCGAGGATGCTGGCAACAGATGAACTAGGACAAAGCTGACCAAGGACACTTATTTCTAGATTATGATTCCTCTGTTTACTCAACAACTTAAAAAAGAAAACACAAAGGACAGACATTGAAGAGCTACACATTGTATATATATATCACCGCAGACTATAAAGAAATGGGATTATTTCCCTCTTTGTCATATATCTGTAGTAGGATTTGCCAAGGTCAGAATTGATCCATTTGCTGTTTGTTGTTTTCCAAAGGTCATATGTTGTGTTTGGTTATCGTTAACAGCTCAATAAATGTATTTAACGAGTTGATTTCATTTTTCCGGCTTCGGTCTGTTCTCCTTCCTCCCAGGCGAAGCCCTGGCTCCATGCAACTCCATCCTTTGAGTTCACTTGTCCCTCCGCCTCCATGTTTTGTTCATCGCAGCCAGTTTTACTAAGTTTGTGGCAATCAGGAATGCATTTGCTAAGCAAGTATAACTTTAATTCCACTCCATGGCTCGATCATTCATACAAGGTGAGCTTCAGCCTGACATAGCAGGCGACAGATTTCTTGCGTTTCAAAACTGCCATCCCCCCTGTGATGCTCCCGTGAAGGAATGCACTTTGCCTTGTAAATTCCTGGGAAAGGGTGTCTTTTCTCTCCAGGTGCAGCCAGATCTCACAAAGTACAAACGAATGCCTTTCTTTTCTTGTTTATAATGGTCACTCACTGTGTTTGGTTACTGTCAAAAAAAATCAATAAATGTGTTTAACAAGTTACCCAGGACCCGTGTCTGAGTTTATTGAGGAGGAGGATGTTCCCTGCTGAAGTCTCTGAGTCCTGCTGAGTCCCCCAGTGAGCATATCCAGCTGACAGCGGGGCAGCCAGAGCCACCAGAACATCATCTGGCCATTCCCAGGACAGAGTAATTAACACCCTATGGAGAAGACAGCCCAGCTTAGCTGCTGGAAGGGGATACTCAGATGTGCGTTTGGTGGCCATGTGAAAAATAATTTTCCTCTCTCTTGTCCTGAGCTTCAGGAAGAAACAAAGCTAGGCACGGAGAATCTGTGCCATGGAAACAGTCACACACACTACTAGCTTCGCCTAGTAGTGACAAAACACATTAACAATGAAAAATTCAAATAGCCAGTGACTTTATAATGGAATAATGCTAACTGGGTTTTCTTATCCACATTTGGCATGCGTGTTAGTGATAAGACAGCTTTAGCCATAATGGTATCTAGACCTTTTTCTATGCAGCTGTATTTGAGCCTGGAGGTGTAGCTCAGTGGTAGAGCACTTGCTTAACTTGCGCAAAGCCTAGGCTCAATCCCCAAGCATAAAGGGAAAAAGAAAAAAAAAAAAATTGCAGACCTAAGCAATTCCATTTTTCCAGAAAACCAAATACTTACAAAAGTTTAGGGTGAGCAGGCAACAGTCTTCTTTTGATCTGGGTCTGCTTCCTCTTTGAGTCTGAATCTTTCCTGGTCTGCAAGGGCTGGCAGGGGCACAGTATATATAATGCTTGAAGAATATGAATAATAAATCAACCTCACTCTACCACTTGCCTACTGTGTGACCCTAGGCGAGTTGCTTTATTTCTCTGACCTGCACATTGAAAGTGCTAATAAGCGCATCCGTGGGTGAGGAGGCTTAAAAGCGTTACTTAAAGCAATTAGCACAAGTCCTGCATCACCTGCTCTCTAAAAGGTACCAAAAGAACCTTTGTGTGAGCAGGTTATCTGACTCCCGCCACGGCGCCCTCTCTGGGCATGTGCCTGCATCCATCACCATGGGAGCACCAGATAAATATCACACAAGAGCAGCTGATACTCAGCCAACGGGACAAATGTCTGTTGAGCAAGGGTCACAGGTGGGGAAGGACGGCAGGGCCTGGGATCCTGGGTCCCATTGTGCCCCCAGTGTCCTCTGTGACTCCCTTCCCTGGGATACACCCTTGTCTGTGAGCAGTTGGGACACGAGCATCCCCCACCTTTCCATTCCTCATCGCTCCCGACCATGTGTCTCTCAGTTCTTCATCCTAGGAGAACAAAGGGAGCAGTCTCCTGGGCATGGGCAGGAGTCCACCCTGGCCAAGCTGAACTCACAAGGGAGGGAACCAGTCCCTGCCTCCCACCTTCCCAGCCGCTCCTAAGTGTTCCTTCTCTACAGCCCAGAGATTGCCGAGCCCTAACAGTGGAAATACAGGCACTTTGCCCTCAAAGCACTTGGGAGTAGTAAAGATTAGCTAGACTAGTATCATGCTACCTCTCCCCTCAAATACTTAAAAAGCATCAAAATCCCTTGGGATTTAGCCAGGTGAGGCCATGAAGAAATAAATACCCATGGGTACATTTCTGGGTCTGAGGACTCGGGAAGGAGTGGGTAGCAATGCCATCACATGTGCAGCAATCAGATCCTAGGGGACAGGAGGGCCCCTTCCCTTCTGGAGAAGATATCTGCAGCCCCCTCCTCTAGGACATGGGGGAGGGAAGTCCACATGCACACAAGAGAATTCTTGGCAAATTAAATGAGAAAAGACAGTGTAGAAGCCCACACCACCCCCATTGGGAGACACGTTCTGCAGTTTCCAAGGCCATCCCATCTCCTTGGATAGTTTGGTTTCCATGGTGACATCAGGACAACCACAGCTCACTGCACGAACGTATGTGGAACGTAGCACAGGACAGCGCGAGGACAGCGTGGAACCTGTGCAGGAGAGCAGTCCTCTGCCACAGCCCTCGCCACTCACAGCAGGCTGAAGGGCACGAACCACGTGGACACCCATGCCAGCACCCAGGGTGCACTCTTCCCACTGGGCCCCGGGAGCATGTAAAGTAAGGAGGGTAACCTAGGGCTGCTGTCCCAGAAAACCTAGGAGTGGGACCTGCAGGAACAAAAACTCACCGCAATGCAGTCAGCAGCTAGCAGATGCAACATAAGAAAGCTCTGTCAAAACCCCAGCCAAGGAAACATCCCAGTAACACACACACACACACACACACACGCACACACACACACTGGTTTGAATATCTCCTGTAGCTCAGGCCCTGTGTAAGCAGCTAGCGGTCTCATCTCATTGCACCCACTCAGTGACCCAAGACATAACCGTGACTGCAGTCCTTGAGTTATAAACGCCGAAACAGGCTTCTCAAAGACCATTGACAGGTTCAGGGTCACACCGCTCCCCGTGGTAAAGTGAGACCCAACTCTTCAAAGCCATCGCCCCAACTATCAGCACCACACAGGGACTGGTTCAAAGGCAAGTTTTCAGGCTCCACTGCAGACCTATGGGCACTCGGAGGCTGAGCCCAGCCGTCTGAGGTTTAACGAGACCCCCAAGTGACAGTGAGGTTCACTCAAGTGTGAGAACCACGATAAATCAAGCATTCATTCCTGTAGTGTCCTACTCTACAGGTTCCCAAATGTGGCTACACATTAGAACCTCCTCAGTATAACATCTACCAAGTTCACCACTGTTATAGCAAATGGCAGGATTCCCTTATTTTTTTAAGGCTGAATAATACTCTACTGCATATATATGTCACATTTTCTGTCCGTACATGTCATTCATCTGTCAAGGGATATTAGGTTTCTTTTTCTTTCTTTTATTTTTCTTTTTTTGTCTTTTTGAGACAGGGTTTCACTAAGCAGTTCAGGCTGGCCTTGAGCTCACTTTGTAACCCAGGCTGACCTTGAACTCTCAGCGATCCTCCTGCCTCAGCCTCCTGAGTGCTGGGATTACAGGGGTGCACCACCACGCCCGGCTGACATGTAGATTTCTTCCATGATTTTGCTCTTATAAATAAAGTTGCAATGAACCTGGGAGCATAGATGTCTTTTTACAATCCTGACTTTGATTCTTTGGGTTATGTATGCAGAAGTGGGATATTTGGATCATAATCGATTCCATTTTTAATATTTTGTGGAACCTCCTTACCATTTTCCATAGCAACTGTACCAATTCACATTCTCACCGACAACCTTGCCAACATTTGCTCTTTTGTTTTCTTGATAATAGGTGTCCTCACAGGTATAAGGCGATAGCTCTTAGTTTAGATTTCCACTTTCCCTGATAAGTAGTGAGGTTGAGCACATTTGCATAGGCCCATTGGCCATTTCCATGCTATCTTTTGAGAAATAACTACTCAGGTCTTTTACCCATGTTTTAATCAGATTATTTGGGTTTTATTTTTGTTTTTGTTTTTGTTTTTGCAATTGATTTGCAAAGTGCTAAATGAAATAGTCCAGACGCAGAAGAACAATGCTCCCATCCATGCTAGGAATCTGAAATATTCAAACTCATAGAAGCAGAGGATGGGATGGAGGTTTGGGGACTGGTGGGTGAAGTAGTCGGGGAGGTACTGGAGGAAAGGTACTTAGTCTTTGTTGTGCAAGAAGACTAAGCCCCAGAGAGTCACTGTGCAGCCTAGTGCCTGTGGTTCACCATGCTATACTAATATTGCAAAAGTAAATAACCTAAAGTAAGAGCAGAGACCTCAGGTTCAATGTTCTTCTCACAAAAAGAGGGAGGGGGGAATCTTTCAGAGGTGATGATTAAATTTCTAATTCATTAAGATGTATACATCAATAGACACAGCCCCTCTGCACAAAAATCATACCTCAGTGAAATATATAATAATATTTTTAAATAACTTTTTGGGAAGCTTTTTAAAAATCCCAAAGCCCAAATAGTACTTCATACCACCTAAATCAGGATACTGGGGGCAGCAGATAGGGTTCAGTGTTTTTGAAATATCTGCAGATAATTCCAACATGTAGCAAAGTTTGGAGACCCCATCATTGTCTAAAAGATCTTCTCAGAGAATGGCTCGCCCCTGAGGAGTATCCGGAGGCCAGTGTTACCTCAGAACGGGTCCCTTTCAGAATCACACCCTCACCCCTATGCAGACTGTCATGGATGGTTTCCAAATGTCCCCCAGCCCCTCTCCCTTCTCAAAACTTCAATTAACAGTCACACAGTTTGAGCAACAAATCTCTCTCTCTCTGTCTGTCTCTGTCTTCCTTTGTCTCTCTCTCTGTCTCTGTCTCTGTCACTCTTTCTCTCTCTCTCTGAAAAAAAGCATAGTATTTGAAACCACGGCTCAGCCCCAGAATTCTAAAACCCTCATTACTCAGACTGCAAAATTTCCAAAACCTCAGTCCATAATGAACCAACAAAAAGAAGCCAAGAGTCAGGAGTCCAGGGTTTGGGAGGATAAGCTGGGTACATAATTCTAAGTCACAGGTAAGTTACAGGCTGTCAGTTCTAACTTGGAGGTGTCTTTTCCTCGTAACACTTCCATGCACCCCCACCCACACCCGACTCCACAGCCCAGGACAAGCCCTAGTTCCACCTCCCAATATCTCAGGCCCAGACTATAGCAACATCCACCCAACAGTTCTTCCTGTCGCCAGTCTCCAGAGAAGTGGAAGATCTTGGGCCAAGAACACAAAAGCACCCACACTCTACTCTCAGGAACCTGAGTCCACCGGGAACCTGAGTCCACCGGGAACCTGAGTCCACTGGGAAGAGAAGTTGTGGGAAGGTTAGAGGTGTTACCTACAGGGCTGAGGAGTAGGTAAAGGACAATCCAAGAGGTGATTTAGAAGAAAGACCAAAAGGTAAGGCTAAGCAGAAAACCAAACGGGCAGCACTCACCGTTGATTCTGTAGAGAAACAGATTCCAGGAACAAAGGTTTCCTTGATCTCCCCAGGTATGTTTAGGAGAATTCTATCCTCTGAGTTCACACAGCATATTGATTGTGTCTCTAA